CGCGGCCATACCGCCGCCGCCGCAGTCGACGACGATCTCCGCGTGTCCCGCTCGCCCACTGTCGCAGCCGCAACCGCTTATTCGCCGCCCCGCCTGGCACACGCACCCGGCGCGGCCGGCAGGGTCGACGAACTCGATCTCCACGCGCGGTCGCTATTATTATCAATTTATAATAATAATAACATGGCGTAAGGTATTAAATTATTATTATTTTAATGTCGTGTTTAAAATAATATTGTTAACGTTGTCACCGTCATGTACGTGTCGCATTAAACTCTATACGTGCACTTGACGAAAAAAAAAACAATCGTGGGTTCTGGTGTTCTTCTATCGTAACGGCCACTCAGAATTCCRYTCACATACCACGATATCGCGTAATAATGTAATATCATATTATTATCATTTGTAGCATCCGTCACGATTCAACCGGTGAAAGCCGAAGCGAGTACCTATTGAATGAATTACACATGTAAATAGTCAATACCCGTTTGAATTTCTTTTAAATTTTATAATTTATTTCTTTCCCTCTTCTTCTGTGCCGGCATTTTCTCTTCGAAAATCTTCGTAATCGTTTTAAACCGGCGCGATCACATCGRGTTTGTGTAAAATATATTATTTTATTATTTTTATTATTATTATGCTGTACGCCGCATAATCGTACATAATATTGAAGTACCGTTACGCGATCATATACCAAAATATCCTATCCAATCCGTCTGTTGCAGCGCGCGTGCACAAGTCGTGTAGTTCGGCTGCTGAGAGTTGATAACATGGAGTTTATTGACCCGGAAATTCGTTCGTGATGTGACCGTCGTCCTCATCACGACCGTGTCAATGTCGTCAGCGTTGGTGCATCATGTCGTGTCAACGGTGCCGACACGGTGGATTCGACACGTTATGTCGTAAATACCTACATCTATATACTGATATAAAACTGACGATCGTTGCGGAGCTTCAATATACAGCTAGTTCAAAGTTTTATAAGTTGTGTGTGAATTGAAGGTGCGGCCATCGATGGCTTTGCTAATAAATTCGTTTCTCTTTATATTTTTCTAGACGTTTACCCCACGTTTGGAGCTTAACCCAAATTCATAAACCATCACTATATTTTATTCCGCCTACCAAAGGGCAGGGTACATTCCAAGGATGTACCTACATACAAAATATATATATTAAATATATACATACGGCCGATACCATGTGAACATACTATCTATACGCAAAGCCATCATTAAGTTATTCGGAACTAAGAGTAAACTGATTGTTGGGGCTCTAAATTATCATCACACGGTAATATTATATAAAAAAAAAATAATCAGATCTTTGCAAAATGTTTCCAAATTTGACCAATCAAACCCTAACAAAAATTGGATATCTTTATCCTAATTCGAATTTCATTAATTTCTATACTTCAATACTAATAGATGAAAATAATATGTATCTATTATAATTTAAGATAACTGAAAACGAAGTCTGTTTGTATGTTATAATTACTACGGAAAAGAAATGAAATTATATTATTGAAATTTCACAAAGAAAGAGATTAAAAAGATTTTAGTAATGATTAAGTCTGAGTACAATATCTGACTAATATATACAAGTCCATCTTTGCTTAGGTAATAATTGTTCTAAATGAGGCCCGAGGCAAAATAGTTTCAAACCTTAGGACGACCTTAGTGTTATGACTTAAAAGATTGTGTGGTCACTGGTCAGTGACTACTAGTGGTAAACAGATTTCAAAACGTAACTTCCAAGCCCAAAAACCAAAAAATTATGAAAAAATCTATTAYAAAATCCAACAAATTACGATCAAGTTAATTATAGATTTTAAACTGTTATTTGTAATGTTTTATCTGTTTTCACTAAAAAAAAGTAGAATACCTAATAAAATAGTACCTATATAACAATAATATAATAAATACCCATAAGATACTTTTTGTCCTCTTTCGCCTGTCCAGTTACCTTGTTAAAACTTATTTTTCAGATGTTATTAGCATTGCCAAGTTAAATGTTGATGTAAAATGTACATTCATATTTTTTATCAATTATCATGGTGGAAAAATATGTGGTATTGATACTAGTAACTAGTTTACTATAACGTCTATAACTGTTTGTCAATAAAATGTTAACTATAATAATTATAATTTTTGTTTTCGTACAGTTTTGAACTACCAGAGATTAATCACTACTATATTAATTAACCATGATAAATAATATATGTAACTATATTATRTAACAATTATTTCTAATATAAATTAAATAACAAACAATTTTTGATCTATAATTTTATATAAATTGTAACGTATTATTATTTTTTACTATCAGCACCGAAGAAGTACGGCTAAATGTACATATTTAATTATTGTGAAGGAGTACACTACACACACATATGCAACACTCAAAAGCTTCATTGAATATCGAATATTAAAATAGATTTGTTTCAGATTTTCTCTAAATTTCTTGAAAGTTCACGTTTCATAAGTTATTACAAAATGTATTTAATATATTTTATTCTATACACTATACAGTGATTTTAGTGTTTTTACACAATATCTAGATATTTATTTCGATTACTTACGATAAGATCTATACAGGTCAATTATTACATTTTATTTCCGTTACAGTGTAAATTATGTCTGTTTAATGTAAATATTAAAAAATATCTCACATTCATTTATATCAACTTCTCATACTATAAAGGGCTACATAATATAAATAATAACTAAAATTCGGAACAATTTTCTTATACATGTTCAATTTATCTCATAGTACTTGGTACTATCTGCTATACTCATTAGTCATTAGTAATTTCAGTTATTTGATAGATTAAAGTTAGGTACTATATTTTAATTATTGCGAAACGATAAACATGTGAACTGTAATCTTTGTAGTYCGTAGATTATTCAGACATAACGCGATGTCTTAAGAATTAATATAGGTTTTTTAAAACTAAACTTGTTGATTATGAAGTTAATTTTAAACACCATAGTTATTTCAAACTTATAAGTTTCCTTATGAAATCTAACTTTTAAGCTGCAGAGAGCTGAAATGTTGGGATGTTCATTTAAAAAAAAATAGAATATATYGTAGAAATAAAGCAGTTATTATGAGGAATTTCGATAGGGCTTGGTTATAACTTATATTAAAGATGTGCAATATAAACATTTGTTTAATCGGACATTGAAACAACCGGTTGTACAGCTTTCTAAAATGCTCTGACAAAATATTGAATGAAGTTTCTTGGATTTTATTTTATTTTTTTTGTTAATTCGGAAGGTGGTCTCTTCATAACAAAAGCAATGCTGTGTGATAATAATAATAATAACTATATATTGTGAAAACGAAGTTCTTAAAAATAATGATAATAATAATAAAGACCTTAGACCGGTTTCGACCTCGCCCGGAATATCACAGCAGGTGAATACAAAACGTGCGTGTATAGAGAATGGACGCATAAAATGAAAGAAAAAAAAAACAATGTGTTTGGGATTCTCTCACGAACGTGAGAGGGTTTGTTTATTATGTTCCACCTCCGGTCGTATAGGGAAAAAGTGACCTTGACATTGTTCAGCATCCCTGTTATTCATGAAACACATGGGAATCATTGGTAGTTTGTTCTTTTTTACTACTATTCACTCACCGAGGGTGGTCTCTACGGTCCTTCACCCACCTCACCCAAATACCCAATCTCTCTCGTAGTAATTGTTGCACCCGTCGCTATAAACAACCGAATTATATATACACGTGTATACAGAAACCAGATAATAATAATTCACATGACATAGATTTTGAAGACTGGGTCTCTATAATACTAAAATATTATGTTATCGACTTATAGTAGTTATTAATTTTAGTAATTTTACGCTTAGTCACTATATTATAGTTATTGTAAATTCATAACATTTCTTCAGCGAATTATGTAGGATTTTATCCAAAATTGTAAATAATAAGATAATAGGGCAAGAGCTGTTATTCTACGACGTGGCGAACGTCGGCCGTTGCATTTCCGAGAATATCTAAGTGCTTTGCGCAACAATGATAATATGAAATCGAACACCGCGTGAAAAACTCTAAAACAAAACGCAAACACATCCATAGATCGTGAGAATCTGTCGCAAATTGTCRAGTTATCGCCATCGCAATTATTCTGACACCTCGGAAACAACAACAAAAATGCATTTGTGGTCATAATATTATTATAAAATTATTACAACAGTACACCTAACCAATTTATCGACAACTGCAGATGGCGTTTGACTAACAGTTTCAAATCGACCTAACGTTTTATAGTAAGTTGTTGTGTTATAGTGTATCGCGACATGAATTTAATATTTTATTATATTCTGACTTCGGAGGCGTTATAGCAGAAAAATAAGCAGTTATTGATACTTCACGATTATCGTCTACACGGGTATCCGGCGTTCGTGTGAATGTATTCAATATTGTGTATTTGTGTATTTTTTTTCTGCTCATTATTCACCGTTGTTCCTCTGCGCCAGCGCGCGCACGCCTCCGAACAACCAGCGGTTCGGTTTTTATCTCGCGTGACGTATATTCTCCATCCCAGCCACCCGCCGCCGACCCACCCATAGACACACCATAGCCGACGACCGTAACAACACGCATAGCTGCCGTGTCCTCGCCCGCGTCCCGACAACACCCGACACCCGTTCGCCGAGGGCATCGTCGACGACGTCTGACCCGGTTGATGGATAAGCGGAAGAGTAGGGTCGGCATGCGCGGTGTGTTTTTGGTGTCGGTGCGCGCGCGCGGGGTTTTCGGATCAATGATAAAAATAAAATACGATTACGGCGGTGAATGCCGGCGCATGCGCGTCCTGGAGGGTCGCTTTCACGTACGAGTTCTGGTAGATACGTCACGCGCGCGTCGAACTCCAGAGAAGCCGATTGTTCATTGGCCGTGCTGCGGAAACCCCGCTCTCGCCACACCGCCACTCTAGAAGGTTGGCAGCGCTGCGACAACACACGCACACGCGGATCGTTGTGCCCGCGCGCGCACGGTCACCTACACCACCACCTCCTCTATCATCATCGTCGTCGCCCCCCTCACCACACTGTTCTCGTACCTAGACCGGTCACACCGCCCTCAGCTCTTGCCATCACCGCAGCGACGTCACTCCACTACGACTACGGCTGTTCATTGCGTTTGCTGTGTGGCGCGGTTACGACGTTACGTTCAGTTTCCGTGTGTACGYGCCCGTGTATACGCGGTTTTGATATCCGTCGTTCGTGTTCTCGCGCGTACGGATTATTATTATTACTATTGATTTGGTTTTTTTTCGTATTTTTTTTTTTTTAAATTTTTAATTTGGTCATATGGATTTTAATCTAGTGACGTTTATTGAAAGCAAATACAATAACGGCTCAACGACAACATCAAGTGTGCAGTGCTGSTAAATAATAATATATCTGTCGACTACCATTAGACCACGCGCAAATATCGTCCAAAAAATCATGCAGATGAGTAAGCGACAACACTGTTACCTGTGCGACTTGCCCCGTATGCCATGGGCAATGTTGCACGATTTCACCGAGCCCGTGTGCCGCGGGTGCGTCAACTACGAAGGAGCCGACCGCATTGAGTTGGTGATCGAAACGGCCAGGCAAATGAAACGGGCCCACGGATTCCAGGAATCAGCCCGGTCCACGGCCGTGGGCGGTGGGTCCACTGCCGTCAACGCGCACCACCCGAAAAACTCGCATCGACACGAAAACGGTACTCTGGAAGTGGTTGGATTGCCACCGCAAGCACACCAGCTGGCCGCACGACAAACACAACAACCTCCACCGCCTCCGCCACCGGCCGCGGCCACATCGCACTATGCGGCCCTGCACCATCAGCGGTCCACACTCATGGAATATCCCGGTAGGCCGGGTGGCGGTCACGTTGTCGACCACGAGGTGGCCATGAGTCGGACATCGGTGCGCTTGTCGCAGAGCCAGCAGCAACAACAACAACAGCAACAGCAACAGCAACAGCAACAACAACAACAGCAACAGCAACACATGGCGCATCACATTCCGAGCCGAGCCCAAGCCGGTGGCCAGGGCCTGAAACGCGGGCTGAGCACGCAAGCCGATGACGACGATCACCACTCAGAAGGCAACAAGCGCATGATGGAAGAACAGCAGCAGCGACCGCCGCTACAGAGAGGCGAATCGCTGCCAGCCGTCAGTCTCGCCGTTCCTTTCGTTGAGCGGTCGTTCAAAGCCGAACCTAAACACCCAATCAGGACCACATCATTCGACACGTCCACGTTCAAGACATCCAGTAAGTGTTTTCACCTCTTATTAAATATTAAAYAATTCTTCCGGCATTAGGTAACGTGGTGATTGCAATGTCTGACGACGACGTCATTGCTAGTTATTTCACATCCCGAGATTAATAATACTGTAGGTACCTTATAGTTTTTCGGGATATAATAAAATTATTGCCTATCCTACCCAAATGTATGTACATCGGGTTTAATGCTACTATCATTGAAGGATTATTGTTCATTATCTCGGACGTTCCTCTGTGACGTATTAATTTTGTTAAGCCGGCGAGCGGTTATATTTAGCGTTAAGTGGTCGCGCGCAACGGTTGAGGGCGTGAGCGTATCGAGATCGTCGATAATACATTCCTCGACGGCCACAAAACAATACGTCGGCTGACGAATGGGCCGTGACGTCATAGGATCCAGTTCCCCGACCTGGTTCAACCGGCAGGCCACTATTAATATTTCATAATATATTGAGACGTGCGGTCGATCAGCAAAATTCACCTTTTCTGTGGTCCAATGACCTTGGTAGTAGGACCAAAAAGCACTCGAGAAAATATGGAATCCCGATTTATTTATTTTGCGTTTCTGGGGGGTGGGCGAGCGGTCGGTCGGTCGGTCGCTGATAGATTTGGCAACGTTACCCGTGTACAACGAGTCTAGTGACGTAATGCGTACACATGCACACGTACGTATTACGTTCCATTGCGCTTGCGCTCATTTTCTACGAGAATGTTTTATCGGATGATCCGATCGTTCTGTTCCGCTCCCCCGTCGTTGTGGTGATTGATTGTTGTTTGCGTACCAGGTGGGTTGTTGTAGTAGTGGTGGGCGGAAACAACGGGTGCATTTTCGTGCGTTTTGACTAGAATGCGGATATTTCGCTCCGCGTGCATGCTTGAGGGAATTACCGATCGGGGGTGTGGAAACCATTGTCGTCGTCAATGACCTATTAAATACGAAATAACACGTGGTAAAAAAAAGGTATCTAAATTAGGTATATCGTGATATTTTATTCAAACGGCCACATATAGCTCTGCGTCTTGCGTTTTTTTTACTTTCATTCTTTTTACTAACTCTGTTTTCATTTTGACTTACATGCACTGCCTGTTCGGGCCACATCTTATTACACGTTCTTATTTTTCGGATTTACGGTCCAGTTTTTGTTTGTCTGTTTTGCTTGTTTTTTATTTTTTTATTTTTACTGATCGTCCCTTGTGTGCGCCAGGTGGATATGCGTCGGCCGCCGTGGCACAACAATGCATGACCAACGGAAACGGACCGGCGGCTGGATCACCGCTGGCCGCCGGCCGGACGACCGGGTCGCCGACGGACGGGCCACCGTCCATGCAAACGATCGGTGCTGGCGGCGGCGGGCAGCCGGGCGCGCAAAATCAGCAGAACGGGCCCAGCAACCCGATGGCGGCGCTGATGAGCGTCGCCGATAACCTGCCGCCCGGTTCTCCACAGAGCGCCCGCGGCAGCCCGCCCGGTTCCATCGGTCCCACCGCCCAGGCGCCCGGTGGTCCCAGGTCTGCATCCCGAGGATCTCAACACTCGCCAAACTCCACCGGTATGTATTCTTACACGCCAAATCTATCCATCCAYCCGTGACGTAGGATGAGCGCTGGTTTAAATGTATCGAAAGTTCAACCGACGGCACACACGTTTATTGCACTCCACGGAATTTTTATAATTTTGGTCATCTCGGCACTCCCCCCCCCACCAACCACTACAATTTCCCAACCACACCACTACAATGCCCTCCACGATGTGGATGCATACGCACCAGTYATTCTTTAAAAAACAAACCTACGTTTTTTTTAGCAGTACATTTTTTAATAACAACGAGTTCTATATTTCATTTAAATTTATCTCGTTGGTCTGTAATTTCTTATTCTGTTCAAATATTTTGTTGTTGTGCTGATAAAACAAACACGCGTATCGTTAAGTGGGCTCTCTAGTGTAAGGGGGCGACCGTGTCAGATAAGGCCGCGTGTACATCTCTCTTCTTGTGCACTTTAAATGCTCACCTTATCAATCTGTGCATGTGACAGTTTATTAGATTACTCGTATTTATAGATTGATAGCTTTCCGTCGAATTTATCATCACGAGCGCATAGTTCAAGTACTTACACTGTTTTACGGCCGGTTGAAAATAGTACCATAATATTATCTTATCGTTCGCCGTTCGACGCAGCCGGCACAACATTATTAGGAAATTCTTTACATCCAATTAAATCGTATCTATTTGACTACGTAGTAATTGTACTACGGTTGAAATATGTGTCTAGATTGTTCGTTTTGTTACGATTCGTATCTGGCCGCGTTTTTAATAGTCGTTAAGTAAAATGACTGATTAAAAAATTCCTACATTACATATTATTTTATTTTTTTGCTCGTACATTTTCAATTAATGGCAATAGATATTGATTACGTGGCGGAACTTTATCGCGGATTCATTGCTTAATTGTTTAAAATATAACTTGTAAATTGGTCAAAAATGATTATCTCAGCGTGTTACGGGATAAAAACCATAACATGTTGAAAAATGCGTGCGATAGTTTATTTTTTCGACGCCGTGTCCACGACCTGTATTCGAAAGCCACAACGGCACCAGCCACCATTAATAATAAGTAATAATATTGTGCCGTTTTAATAAAGTAATATTATTATTTTGACACATTGGCTAACCCAACGGGTGTGCACTGAAAGTATTTTTCTAATCTCGTTTATAACCGCTGCCGGAAATCCCCGTTCTCGCATCACAACTGCCCCCACCTTACATGAATTTTAATCGAAATAGATAGATTTGTAGTTAAATGTTAGTGTTTTTTTTTTTTTTATGATAATTTTAAATCTGTTTGTATGGTTTGTAATGAGAAATTTGAATTTTCTATTTTTTTTTTTACCATGTGTTTAGAGTATCATAATATAGGAAAAGAGACCGCATACCGCCTTAAACATGCCTTATACTCCTACAGTCATAAATTAGAAAAATAATCAAGTCCTGGATCTTTGAGGAGTGGGGATATACAAAATATTTAAATGATTTCAATATTATTTTTGAGATAGTACAATAATTTCTGTTAAAATATCATTAAACAAAATAAAATCATATTTTACTGAATCCCACTACACCACCTATTAACTAATAATAATTTTCTTATAGAGATATTCTTTTCTCTCCACTTCCGTACTTTAGTTTATGTTGCTTGAAGTAGATTTGTTGATTTGCCGTCCTTTTTTTTTTCTTTAACAAGTCGCGTTTTGTAGGCGGTTCGTCCAGCGGACGTAGGTCATCCGGAAGTCGTCACGTCAGCTCCACAACTGTGACATCTAGTGAGGCCAACGGCGGCAATGCTCCCGGTTCCGGCGTGCCCGGCGTCAATGGTCCCGGCGTTAACGGCCCAGGTGGCGTCGGCGGTCCAGCCGCCAACGGTAATGGTGGAGGGAGCGCTTTGAACGCATCAGTTCCTGTTGGCGGTGGTTCTGATGGCGTCGCATCCGGAACACCTATGGACGGCACCACACCAACGTTGCCGCAAGTTCCACCCTCTGTGCCGCTGACGAATGCGTCGGCTGCCGCCGCGGCCGCGGCCGCAGCCGCCAACACAGCTACTCTCAAGTGCACGCTGTGCCAAGAGCGGTTGGAAGACACGCACTTTGTCCAGTGCCCGTCCGTTCCYCATCACAAATTTTGTTTYCCGTGCTCGAGGGACAGCATCAAACGACAGGGAGCCGGCTCCGAGGTAAGACGATGGCCATCAAATTCTCATCTTTTTGGTTTTTGTTTTTGTTTTTAAAACTCGTATGGTTTTTGCTTCGCAGGTGTATTGTCCTAGTGGCGAAAAATGCCCACTGGCTAATTCAAACGTGCCCTGGGCTTTCATGCAAGGCGAGATAGCCACCATACTGGGCGAAGAATTCAAAGTGAAAAAAGAACGAGACTCATAAATTATATTATAATTATTATTTTTTTTATTTTTATTGATTACGTCATATTATAGTATATACTGTGTAAACATGTTTCACATAATCATATTATTATGTTATATGAAACTTCACCTCCTACAGATCCTATCAGATTATCAGACTTCTAGGCCTGGAAGGATCAAGGCCTCGGGTGTAAAATATGCATTTATTTATTAAGCCCTCTGTATATTACATTATGTATAAAATAATTTTATTACGTTACGTGAAAATGCCAATAGCTATTATAACGGTGTTGTACGTTCCCGTAGGGGCAATCCTTTATTTTTACTTTTTAGGCAAAATTTAGAATAATTTTAGCCTTGTTATGTTCTTGTTTCCCCGCCGTTTTCYTTCGAAATCTCGCTGTCGACGAGACATGGAAGGGAGACTAAAGGKAGCAATCTTTGGCGTCAAGACTGAGTCAAGTCGTGTTTGTATTTTACATTTTTTAAGTAAAACAATTGTTAAGAAAAACGGTCCTAAGACTGTGCTAGTCAAAGCAAATATATGTATATTAGTATTATATATAAATCTTAAGTGCACAAAATGTATATTACTGTTTTTTAGCTTTAAATTATGTACCCTAAAGTTAATTTTTAGGCCGGTAGCGTTGAAACTACGTTTGAAATTTTTGTTTTCGAACAGAGATCAATTGTAAAGGAACTCACAATCTCGCTTGTTTGCATCTCGTGCGTGTGTATATATTTTGTAAAAAATATTATCGTACTAGATTTTGTGGTTTCTCCCCACCCGTCGCCTCTTCCCTAATGTATTTTAATAATAATAAAAATACAAATCGGTAATCATCAGACACGTTTAATATTTTATTACCTACTGTGTAACGTCTTATAAGTAGACACTTTATATTGTGTATATACCTAATGTTGTCGTTTTACTCTGCAAAATGCTAGTCTCGCGTGTTGGATACTTAAAATTTAAAATCTATGGTACATAATCGTTATATAGAAAAAAAATGATGTGTCGTTCCCGAAAGTTGATGTCATTCTCGATCGAAGTCGTAAAATAAAATTCGCCCACGTGGAGGCAGATTGGATCGCGTTCAAAAGATTGGTCTGCGTTATATAAATTATTGTACGCACGTCACACGCGACGCCATACCCGCTAATTTGAATTTGCTAAGCTTCTGCAACGCATTTTTGTCGCTGCTATATTACGATGTTTATTCAGTACCTAATTTGTTTGTAATAATCGATACGATTTTTACGCGTCAAAACATTTTTGATTATTCGATATCCAGGCGGGAATCCATCGTCGGTTCGCTTCAATGTCATCTTTTCGGATGGCGGGAATCTTTCGATGATGTCCCCTCTCGATCAAATCATGGGCTTCTAAAATAATTTCTATGTTATCATGTTACATAATACATACACGTGACAGTTATGACATTCCGTAATAGTCTATCATGAATGAAAATATAAACGCGGTGCGATACTACGCATGATGGGTGGTCGGGGGTTTGTTTCGTTCGCGTGCGTAAAAACTGACGGCAAGTGTGGTCGTCACATCACACGCAAGACTTTCGTGTGACGTCACCGCGACTAAACCTCGTCGTGCTACACCTACACGGCAAGACCTTTTCGTGCGTATATGTCGAATATTATTATAATACTCTAGTTGTGTATTCGAACACGCCTCCCCGGTACATATACACGCGAGACGGGCATGTCAGTCTGTCGCTCGCGTCGAAGAGGGGTTGGTACGTTCTAATGGTATTGATCGGCGGCGGCATCACAAAAGTATGCATATTGTGTAAGCGTACCATATATATAGGGTCGAGACGTTGCCGGGCTGTTGCTGTTTTTAAACACACACACGACATTATAACCGACACRGACCTCCCTTCGGCCCGGACACCGTACATCAGTGTATGTCGAGCGGGTGTGTTGACGGTACCTAATACATTGTACGATATACCTATACATTTAGCCGTTATATACGTCATTTAGTGTCCCGTGTGGCTTGCAATGGTTATTGATCKTATATATCGAAAAATTATTTGTATACAATTTTCAGTTGTATGCACTATACTTGCCTCATCGTAAGTCTCGGTAGTATTACCTACATGTAATATTATCTAAGTTCACGGTAGTTAAAATTTAAAAGACACATTTAGTTGGGTGGAGGGAGAGCTGATACWCGATACACGTGTGGATTTTACTCGCCTTCAGAAAAATTATTTTTACGACCAAATTGTTTAATATCTATCCTAGGATTGGCTAGTTAATAATACTGTTAACGATTAAGTAGATA